CACAGTCCAAGGGCAAAGGGATAAAACTAATATTTCTTTTCCTCAAGACAGACAGACACATAGGCCTGAAGACAAACGTGTAAACAAATTTGACATAAATGTATAAAACAATGTGTTAATTCTTTATATCACTAGTGTAAATCAAATGTTATACTTGCACAGGAGAGGAAATCAGCAAAGCCTTCTCAGAGGGAGTGTAAATGAGTATGAAAGGTTGGATGGATTTTAAACTACAAATTGGAGTTTTCCAGATGGAGAAGCGGGAGGTGAAGCAGCCGTGAAAACAGAGCAGCATATGCAAAGGCAGGAAGGAACGAAGAACAAGATGTGTTTGGGGCATTCATCTAAGTCTAACTGGAATATACAGAGTATGGGCCGTCATGAGGAAAATGGCCAAAAAGTTAGTACAGAGCAGGATTGCAAAGAACCTTCACACATCACACCAAGGATCTTGAACTTTAGATGGAAGAGATTTGATTCCAGTGAAGGTTTTTAAGTAAGAGGGACATGACAAGAGTTTCATTTTAGAAAATCATTCAGCGGACAGTGAGAAGGAGAAACAGGATGTAGGAGAATCTGGAGGCAGGACACTGGTTTGCAGATTTAACAAGAGTCTGGGTGCTGGATGGGAAGGGTCTGCACCAAGGTACAGGCGGCAAGGGTGACAAACAGGGAGTGGTCAATAGATATGACATTTCTACAATTGGGCAACTGGGCAGCAAGCACTGATTGCAAACTGACTGAACATCTCTCCTGGAAGCCCACTGAGAAAACAAAAGGAATTAGGCATAAACCCACAAACCTAAGAATGAGAGAGGAAAGATAAAAACAAGTCTTGAAAGATGGAAAAGTGACAGGGGAATGGTAATAGAGTGAGTGGAGCAGAAAAGGATGAATTCTAGGACCTACAGAGAGGGCACTGGAAAGGAGAAGCTCAATGAGCCCTGGCTGGTCCCAGCAAGGTTTAAGACCAGGCAGTACCAGGTCCCTGGGAAGTGGTAAGGTACAGGAGTTTGGCTGCAAGCCTGTATTTGAAACAGCTGGAAACCAAGATCATTACTTCTCCACACACAGCTAGGTAATAATTCCTTTGCTTGACCCCTTTCCTCTGAAGAAATAAAACCAGTGAGTACCTGGACTTGGGACACCAGGCACAGTAAGAGTGGGCAAATGGAGCTAGAAATTGGGGAACTGAATGAAAGTCTGTATCCTAAACAATGAGACACCCTCAACTCCCCTACGTCTCCCTGCTCCATGAATGCATGCAGCCATCTGGGTGAGACAAGAGATTAAAAGACTCTGCTCTGGAGGAACTAAAGAGTCCAGCGGTTTTGAAAACCTATAGATAGTCACTTTTGGGAATCCTTCCTCCTGTGAAAAAGCTAGCCTACAACCTAATCATTTTACAGTGAGGTGCCCTAATCAACAGGCTCTGCCCAGTATGCAGGTCTTCGAAACAACTTTTTAGTACTTCACTTCTAGATAGGAAAAGAAATCAAAAGATCAACAGACTTCTAATATAAGAGAGAGAGAGAAAGATGAAGCCAAAGAGAAAAGGATCTAGAGAGTGGTAAAAAGAGCAGAAAAAGTCTTTAAAAGGAGAATAAGTAACATTACCAGAGAGGTAAGATAAGCCATTGTACCCATAAAACAAGAATGAGATGATGTTCAGATTAAAAAAAAAAAAAAAGGATAAGAACAAATTGGGTTAAACCAAAAGCTCTTAGAAATTAAAACCATGATAATTGTGGCATTGACTGATTGTTGCTACCCAATCTCCCCTTCTTTCTTAGAAAAAAACCCACACCATTTCATATGAAACAGCAAAATGATCAGGTGAAAACATATTTCCCAGCCTTCCCTCTGAGAATAGCTGAAAAGGCTAGCAAATCAAGTTCAAGGCTATATAGCCAGGATCAACACTCAATATTGTATGTCAGAGCAGTCTAGCAGGGGACACTCCTGTGGCAGGCACCAAGGTCTAGATGCTGAATCCTGCCCACGGGCTCTGAAAGCCCTGGACACTGGAGCCAGGAATGTAGCCCTCCTGCTGCTACCTTAAGACTTCTAGAGAGTTCCTCAAAGTCACCACTTCAGGTTTCCAGTTCCCAGTTGCAGGTATAAGAAGGGCTCATCTGATTGGCAGAGCCTCAGCCTCATGCCTGAACTTTTGGCTATAGGAGAGGCTGGAAAACTGAGTATCTGACATCTTCAGTTTTGAGTGTGAAAGGCTTGTGTTTCCTCTCACCAAGACTTGTAACACTGGAAATTCTTCAAACATAGGTAGGTCATTCAATGCTGGGTAGGCAAAAAACAAAACAAAACAAACAAACAAACAAAAACCTACTGTAATATTGTATCCGAAAAAATCTCTTGTTCCCTGGATCAAACATAGAAGTGTGATAAGGAGAGAAATTCCAGGAGCTTTGTAGCAGGATTAGAGAACAGATAGTCTAGAATGGAACAGGATGAGAGTATAGGACAAAGGGAAAAAAAGAAATGAATATGTTAGATTTCTGAAGAATTTGAGCATTTGGAAAATAACATTAAGAAGCATTTGACATATCTTCCAGAGCATTTCAAGAAAAATGATGAAGGAAAACCAAGCAAATAAAAAACAAGGCAATCATTAACTCCAGGAAACAGAAAAAGTTATACAAAAAAGGAAATGTAAATATAGTGTATGTAATATATTGCTCAGAGTTAAGCGATATTTGCTTAATCACAATAATATGAATACTAGCTATTAAGCTAATCAAAAACAGTGATATAAGTACACTGGGGACATTGGATGAGAAGGCAGAGTGGCATAAATGTGTTAAAACTTCATTTATCATAATAGAAAGTCAAAAGATGATATCTGAAACTGACATATTAAGAAACAAATACAAATATATTATTTAGTAACATGAAGGTTGATAAAAGAAGCAACTTTTTGGTTGAAAGTGGGATTTTCTGGGAGTGGGACTAGGGGGCTGAGAAAGGTACAAGGGATAGTATAGAAGAGTGAGGATTACCATTTCTGATTATGTTACTTTTAAATCCACTTGCCTTATTAAACTGTACACTTATTATTTTGATAAAAATAAAATAATTCTTAAAAGTTTAATAATTCTCCTATCATTAAAAATCTCCCACCAATTCAGAGATAAAGAAGGAAAAGCAAGTATATGGGAGAATGTAAAACATCTGTTTTTAGACATCTCTTTCTATATCTGTCTGTCTTCTCCTCTTTGCTCACATTTGTCTATACAGATCACAAAGGGCATGGTAATGTAGAGAAAAGTAATGAGCTTCAAATACAGGCAGAGAACCTAGGTGTGACATCCAGCTTTGCAAAGTCTTAGCTCTGAGACTTCTCTGTGACCTCACTGGGGCTCAGGGCCTTCATTTGTAAAATGGAAAAAATATAATATATATATTATATTACATGACATAACATATGTAAAGCACCTAGAATGTGGACAACTCAAAATTGTAAATTCTTTCTTTCTCTCAGAATTTCTCATGCCCTGTAAGCCTCTCTCTGAGAATCTCCCTGTGTGTTTCCATGTTTGTAGATTTGAGAAAGCAATGCAAAGCTGTGTTCCTTTGGCCATCTTTCCTCCACCCCCTCTTGCCTGGTTTGGGAGATTTATCTTCCACAGACAAAACCTTGTAAGGCAGACTAGGTGTGTTTTTTTTTTTTGTTTTTGTTTTTGTTTTTTTTTGCAGAAGCAGAAACCTTTTGAGAACATTTGCTCTTTAATTTGCATTTAAAATCCGTTTCTTTAAATATTTTAGTTGCAAGTTCTGAATAGTGAAGACATAGATGCTGCAGGCACTCAGTATTGGCTCCTGTCCCTTCCCTCCCCCCTCCCCCACCCCGCCCTCCAGGCCTTGCATCTCTGCTCAAGATCCAAACGGGCACTCTGCACTCAGTAAGTGGTTCCTGGTGTCAAGTGGCAGCAAGCTCCGGCCTGGATGCAGTTGGATACAAAGCGATGAAGCCCAGTAGCTTTCACGACAAGATGTATGTATTTAAACTCGCTCCAAGCAATTCCAATAATCGCGTCCAGACCCAACAGGCGACACCACCTCACAGGTGACACTGCCTGTCTCCCCACCGTGTATTAGTGTCTTGGGGCTGGTTTCCACCACAGTCCAACCTCCTCCAGACCTGTGTTCTGCAGAAAAGGTGCTAAGGCCCTGCTCCCCAAGGGCCATGAAACAGAGAAACAGCTGCCTCTTTAGGCTGAGTGCTTACACCAGTGGCCTTTAAAGGCTCAAATCAATCTGAGCCAGTCCACAGGAAGCCCTCTCCCCCCAATCTCCCCAGGGTCCAGCCCTGTGATGATGCCCCATCCCACTGCCATGCTGGGCTAGAATCTGCTCTAAATGACAACGTGGTACAATGGTTCCAAGCAGCCCGGGAAGGTTGGCACTGACCTTTAAAGGAAAAAATGGTCTCATTTGTGTTGATATTAGTGTTTATTAACTTTGAGAGGGAGAGAGAGTGCACTAGTGAGTGAGGGGCAGAGAGTGAAGGAGAGAGAGAATCACAAGCAGGCTCACAGAGCACAATGTGCGGCTTGATCCCACGACCATGAGATCTTGACTATGAGATCACAACTGTAAGATCACAACCTGAGCTGAAATCGAGAGTCAAACACTCAACAAACTTAGCCACATAGGCGGCATTCATGTTTATATTACATCTCAGCTGATTTTTGAGTAAAATGGAATAATGTTCAATTATTAGCCATGGCTCCCAGCTCTACTATACAAGAGTAGACAGAAATTTCTGTTTAAAATCACTATAACAGAGTAGAGTTACAAAGACAGCTACTATTTGAATATAACTTTAAAGAGTAAATATCACACAAAATTGACAAGGATTTTAAACCCAGCTATAAAGCGAGCTGGTTGAGGATTTGAAAAGGGGTTGTGATAACTGGGTAGGTTATCCAGTTTAGGTCACCCCAAATTAGGAGGCCCTGATGTGATTCCAAAGCACTCACCTTCTCCACTTGGGCCAGGCTGGTAACGTGGCTCAGGGACAGGATGGTCTCCACTCGCTCCTCCAGGCAGAGCTCCTTCACTCCCGCCACTCTCCTTTTTCCAGCAGGCCTCCTGCCGCTCCCGTGAGGCAACAGGCAATCTGTTAGAGCCCTCAGCAGGGAAGGAAGCTGGGGACTTGAGGTCCAAAAGGAAGCTATCTTGTAAGGTTGACTTGGTGGCCTTCTTGCATTTCCCCTTCTTACTTTCTGGGATCCCGTCACTGTCTCCTTGCCTGGGTTGGCTATTCTCAAACTTCTTGGTTAGTTGGAGGAGTTGATCCATGTCTTTGGTGAATTCTAGCAGAGTACCCTCAGAGAGGCTTTGGGCAGTGCCCTCAGAGCCATAGCTGGGAGCCTTCTGCAAGAGCAGGTGCTCAGAGCGGCGGAGAGCTCCCGTGCCCTCCCTGTGCACTGACTCAGGCACCTGGAGAAGGCTGCAGGGACCCATGGACAGGGAGAAGTAAGAGTAGTCCACTGCAATGTACGTCAGCATGAAATTGATGGTGACAATGGGGGCTAGAACATTCACTTGGCCCACAAGGACAAAAGCCATGGTCACTAAGCTGGTCAGGAAGATGGCAGCAACAGGTGTTTTATTTGGACCTTTCTGCAGAAAGAAAAATGACATGCAAGGCTATGAAACTTCGGAAAAAATCACATTATATGATAGAAACACAATTCATAATGGTTCAACCGCTTGTACCATGTTCTACTAATCACGGATTGTCTATAAACTTGGGATAATAATATCTAACTCATTCCCATGGGTTTATTATGAGAACAGAGCTAATGCACATAAAATGCTTGACACAGCATTGACACACAGTAGGCTCCCAACACACCATGGGTATTAGTTGTATTCATAACTATTAATATGGAGTATGGCTATATAGAACTTGGACTTTCCAAGTATTTCTCCTTTGGGTTTCATTGGTTTTTTGGGGGGGAGGGTTGTTTTTGTTTTTTTGTTTTGTTTTGTTTTTGTTTTTTTAGAGAGAGAGACTGAGTTGGGGAGAAGGACAGCGGGCAGGGGGTGGAGGAGGAGAGAGGGAGGGGGAGAATCTTAAGCAGGCTCCACACTGAGCGTGGGGCCCCTCTCCAACATGAGGCTCAATCCTGTGACCCTGGGATCATTTCCTGTGCTGAAATCAAGTGTCAGACACTCAACTGATTGAGCTATCCAGGCACCCTTCTTTGGATTTTAACATCAGTCTTGGAAATCAAAGTGGTTCAAAGTTCCCAGGCTATAATGGAGTAAATAAGCTTAAGGGGAATGGGAGACCCGAGAAGATACAACAGAATCACTGGTGGCTGTGGTGAGGAAATCGTAAAACTAAACATATACATGCTCACACACTTATTTTATACACATTTGTTATCAATGGAGGTGGGTATAGTGACCTTCAGGAGAACAGTAGTAGAGAATATGTGCGAATTCCATATAATTTGTCACTCCACAGAAGCTGTTCATCACAGTCACTGACATGGTTCTTTGGCCAAAAGCATTGGTCACTTCTTGGTCCCCATCTTCCTTGACTTAAGAACTACATTTGACCCAGGTAATCTCTTCCTGGTCTTTGAAAGACTTTCCTTGCCTAGCTTCTCCTGATTTGGCTCCCTCTTCATTGTCTGCTCCTTCTTAGTCTTTGTAGCTGGCTCCTCTACATCTCTGAAATCTACCTTTATTTATTTATTTATTTATTTATTAGGTTTATTTATTTTGAGAGAGAGAAAGCATGAGTGGGGAGGGGCAAGGAGAGAGAGAGAAAGAGAGAGAGAGAATCTGAAGCAGGCTCCGTGCTGTCAGTGCAGAGCCTCATGTGGGGCTTGAATCCACAAACCATGAGATCATGACCTGAACCAAAGCTGAACACTTAACCAACTGAGCCATCCAGGCATCCGTCTCTGAAATCTACATTTAAAGTAGCCTAGGGCTCCATCCTCAGACCCTTTCTTTTTTCTATCAATACTTTCTTCCTAGGTGATCTCAACCAGAATTCTAAATTTATTATTTTTATTTTTTTAATGTTTATCTTTGAGAGACAGAGTGTGAGTAGGGGAGGGGCAGAGAGAGCAGATACAGAATCCAAAGCAGGCTCTAGGCTCCGAGCTGTCAGCACAGAGACCAATGCAGAGCTTGAACTCACCAACCAGAAGATCATAACCTGAGTTGAAGTTGGATGCTTAACCGACTGAGCCACCCAGATGCCCAGAATCCTAAATTTAAATACCAGCTTTGTGCTCAATCTTAACTCCCACATTTGAATCTCCAGTCTGAAATGTCCCCCTCCAATCTAGACTTAAATATTCAACTACCTACTCAATATTTCCAGTTGATGTCTAATAGGATATCAATTGTCCCAAACCAAATTGCTGACTCCCCAACCTCCCATCCATCAAATCTACTCCTTCTGTAGTCTCCATCTCAGAAAACAGCTGCTCAGTCCAGCAAAATTCTTGATGTCTCTTCTCATTCACTCCTTCTCTATCAGAAAATGCTGTCAGCTTTACCCTCAGATATACACAGGATCTAACCACTGGTCCCACCTCCTTTACAGCCAGCAATCTGCAAGGGGAGGGGCAGACACATAAGCCATTTCCAGATCTGACCCGCAAACCTCCCACAGGTGCTCCTCCAGGTGCATTTCCCCCTTTCTGATGGTCAGAATAGAGAGCAGCCTTCAAAGTCACAGGATGAAGACAGCCACGTCATCAGCCTGAGTCTCCGAGGGTCAAAGCCCCTGTTGACCTGAAACACCTGCCCAAGAGCTTCAGAGTAAAATTCTGGGGGAAAAAATAAGAGGTAAAAATATGCTTTTATTGTCTTTGAGGGTTACATTTTTGGTAAATTTGCTACAGCTATTTAGCATACTCTAACAATAAAACTACTAAGAATAAAGTAAGTACTTAGAAACTAAAGAGAACGTAAAAGGAGGGTGTTAGGTAGGCTGAAAGAAATGCTAATGGTCCAGGCCAAGATTTTGATGAGGGCAGGTTTTTAATGGTTGAACATGAACTTCTCCTATCAAAAGGCACCATAAAGAAATGAAAAAAACAAGCCACAGAATGGGAAAAGATATTTGCAACACATATAACTGACAAAGAGTAATCCAAAATATCAAAGAATCCTTACAAAATAATTAGAAAATGGAAAACCCACGAATAAAAAATGAGCAAAAGAATGTCTATTAAGCATATGAAAGGTACCCAATGTCATTAAGTAATCAAGGAAATGCAAATTGAAACCATAGGAAGATCCAATTAAACACCCAACAGATTGGCAAGAATTAAAAAGTCTGATAGTGTCAAGCATTGGCACAAACACAGAGGGATAGAAACACTCATCCACTGCTGATAGGGGTGTCAATTAGTACAAGTACTTTGGAAAAAGAGTTTGTTGTCTAGTAAGTGAAAATAGACATACCCTATAGCTTAGCAATTCCAATAATGGGTATGTAGTCTGGAAGACCTCTACGTGTGAACTTTTCTACTAATATAAGAATGTTCATTATACTGTCTGTAACAGACCCAAATTGGAAACAACCCAAAAGTCCCTCACCAGCAGAATGAATAAATAAATTCTAGCAAATGAGGAGATACTGTACAGGGATGATAATAAACAAGCCGCTGCTACAAGCAAAAATGTGGACGAATCTCACAAACAGAATGCTGAGGGAAGAGGCATACCACATTTATCCAAAGTTTAAAGACAGGCAACATTAAACAATTTTGTTTAGAGATGCATATGGAGGAAGCAAACCAGGGGTCAGCAAACTATGGCCCATGGGCCATCTGGCCACCATCTGTTTATGTATGCCCATGAGCTAAGAACGGTTTTATATTTTTAAAAAGTTGGGAAAAATCAAAAGAAGAGGAAGATTTCATGACACACAAAAATTACATGAAATTTGAATGTCAGTGTCCATGAAAAAGTGTGATTGGAGCACAGCTACACCTATCCCAATAGGCGTGTCTGTGTCTGTGGCTACTTTTGAGCTATAATTGCAGAGTTGAGTAGTTGTGACAGAGACCATAGGGCCTGCAAAGCCTAAAATATTTACTATTTGGCCCTTTTCAGAAGAAGTTTGCGGACTCCTGAGTAGTCTTTAAAGAAAGCAAGGAAATTATTATCACAAAAGACTACAGTTATGGAGAGGGACGGGGCTCTGATCAGAGAAGGCATGCGGAGGCTGGAATGTTCACTTCAGTTATTCTTTAAAACTGTTCATATTGGGGGTGCCTGGGTGGCTCAGTCAGTTAAGTGTCCGACTTCAGCTCAGGTCATGATCTCATGGTTTGTGGGTTAAAGCCCCACGTCAGGCTCTGTGCTGACAGCTCGAAACCTGGAGCCTGCTTCAGATTCTGTCTCCATCTCTCTCTGCCCCTCCTCCACTTGCACTCTCTCTCAAAAATAAATAGTAAAGAGTTTTTTAAAAACACTGTTCATATTGGCTTTATGCTCTTTTCTGTATGTTGAAAAGCTCTCACAAAATTTTAAAGTCTATTCTCTACCCATTAAAAAAGAAAATGTGCTGGGGTGCCTGCGTGGCTCAGTCAGTTACGCATCCGACTTCGGCTCAAGTCATGATCTCACCGTTCATGGGTTCGAGCCCCACGTCAGGCTCTGTGCTGACAGCTCAGAGCCTGGAGCCTGCTTCAGATTCTGTATCTCCCTCTCTCTCTGACCTTCCCCTGCTCGCGCTGTCTCTCTCTCTCTCTCTCTCTCAGAAATAAAAACAAACAAACAAAAAAAATTTTTTTAAGAAAATGTGCTAATAAAATTTAATCATATGTAAAGAAGCTTTGGGGAGAAAAAAGACTTCAGAGTTAAAAGGCAAGCGACAAAGTAGAGAAAACATTTGTAATATATTTCACAAAGAGTTAACTTCCCTAACAAAAGAAACGAAGAGCTTCTAGCAATTGAGAAGAAAAAATCCAACAATCACAGGACAGATATGTGATTCTAAGAGGTAATGATCTCCAAACTCATTCATATAAGAGTAATGCAAATCACAAGGGTGCCTGGGATGGCTCAGTTGATTAGGTGTCAGACTCGTGGTTTCAGCTCAGGTCATGATCTCACGGTTCATGAGCCTGAGCCCCATGTCAAGGCTCTGTGTTGATGGTGTGGAGTCAGCTTGGGATTCTCTCCCCCTCTCTCTGACCCTCCCCTGCTCACATTGTCTCTCTCTCTCTCTCTTTCAGAAATAAAAAAACAAACAAAAAACATTTTTTGAAAAGAAAATGTGCTAATAAAATTTAATCATATGTAAAGAAGTTTTGGGGAGAAAAAAAACTTCAGAGTTAAAAGACAAGCGACAAAGTAGAGAAAACATTTGTAATATATTTCACAAAGAGTTAACTTCCTAGCAAAAGAAAAGAAGAGCTTCTAGCAATTGAGAAGAAAAAGCCTAACAATCACAGGACATATATATGACTCTAAGATGTAACAATCTCCAAACTCATTCATTTAAGACTAATGCAAATCACAGGGGTGCCTGGGTGGCTCAGTCAGTTAAGTGTCTGACTTCAGCTCAGCTGTGATCTCACATTTTATGAGTTTGAGCCCCACATCGGGCTCTCTGCTGTCAGCCCAGAGCCCACTTTGGATCTTCTGTCCCCCCTCCTCCCCCCTGCCAAAAATAAATAGACATTAAAAAAAAAAGAGTAATGCAAATCATAAGGATCCTGAAATGCCATTTCTCACTATACAACTGGAAAAAATTCACATTTGACAATGAACTGTGATGGCTAATAATTGCTACCTGGGGCAAGAGTGCAAATGACAGGTCACACACGCTATGTCTAAACAGCAATAAGTATAAACCAAGGTAACAAACTGTTAAAGGAAATAGGTTCTATCTTCCTTCCTTAGGACAATGGGGAAGGCCAGGTTCAAGTTTAGAATCCTTGTACTCCTCAGAGATCCTCAGTAGAGGATGCCCACTCCAGCTCCTCGCCCACCTCCTACCCTTCCCAGACCACACCGTGGGGGCATCACACCCACATGTGCACTCCTGGCCCCATACCCGGGTCCTAAAAGGACAAGCCCAGGGAAGAGGCCCGTGCAGACCCTGGTTGTGGCTTGTGGGACATTCAGGCAGAGAATTCCAGGCACGAATGGTCCAGTGCGGCACACCTAGACTATCCAGAAGAGGGGTCTGGGATCCAGCAGGCATGCTCCCTTGAACTCATGAACTTCTTATCCCAAGGACCAGAACCCAGAACGGAATCTTATAAAGCAGGGTCTTAGGGCCTGTGTCTAAGAATGATGCTGACTGTCAGGAAGCAGGAACTGTTACTGCTGGTAGAAGTACAAAATCATGCAAATTCTATGAAAGGTGCCTTGACAATATCTATTAAAATTAAAAATGTATTTACCCTTTGCTGCAATAAACCCACTTGTGAAACTTTATCCTACAGACATACCTGCACATAAAATAATTATACACACACACACAATTATTCCTTGTAGCAATGTTTACTGAAAGCCACACATGAGTCAATCCATAGAAAACTGGGTAAAAACCATGATGTATCCACACAATGGAAAAAGAATGAAAAACTTCTCTTGACATACATATGAAAAGTTGGACTTCCAAGTTATATTAAATGAAGAAAAGCAAGGTATAGAAGAATGTGTTAGAATACTATCACTGTATAAAAAATAGAGAGAAGGATTCATAAAAAACTAATAAAAACACTACTGATAGGGCATGGGTGCTGGTGAAGAAAGAGATACTAAAAGACTCACTATAGGAGCAAAAATTCTCAATGTATACCTTTTATAGCTTTCTTAGTTTTGAGCTCTGTGTATATATTACTTAATAAAAATACATGAAATTAAGGTAAAAGAAAAGACATGTACAGCATAGAAGGTACAGAGATTAGAGTCAGTGCTCCTACCCAGCCCCTGCTGGCAGATGGGTCAGAAGTGGAGGATGGTAACAGAGGGCTGGTGGCCCTACCCAAGGGGGGTCTGGGGTGGCAAGGGGTTGGAGGAGGGTCTCTGTGGTACTCCAACAAGATAGAAATGAACTCCTTCAGTAAACCACATCATTGGGAAGTGGGATTCTCTCTCTCTCTCTCTATCTCTTGTTATCACTTAGGTTTTAGGAATGTCTCATCCAATCATTTTGTGACTCAACCAAGCTATACTATATCAGTGAGAGTTTGGGCCATGAAGACTGACAGGAAGCCCAGAGGCCCGAGGAGTGAGAAATAATCATAGAGCAACCCCAAAGGAAAGGCAAAAATCAAGGGCAGAGTTCGAGCTGTTAGGTCCAACTCCTCTCCTCACCAAGAGATTTTTTTCTTCTATACTGAACTGAGAGGATCTGAATTTATTTTTATTAAAGGATATGACACTCCCTTTCCCTGTTGCTCAGGGTCCAAGATGCCATTCTGTCAGTTAGCTAACCCAGTGCTAAGGGGTCCTGGTGGCTGAGACGTTGACAGATGGTTTGTCCAACTGGCCCTGCCCTAAGGCGGCCAGAGGACAGGAGAGAACAAGTTCTGCATTCTCACTTCTCCCACTCTGGAGAACTTGACCACTGGCTCTAACTGGAGAGACTTAAGCCATTTATTGGCCAATAATCAGGTTCATGGCAAGATGTACATTTCTCAAAAAGAGGGTCACTCACCCCTTTCCCCAGGCAGGCCAGTGCGGGGATCACTTTCTCCTGGGCAATGCACTGCAGGATCCGGGGGGCTCCATAGAGACCTCCCATACAGGAGGCCAGGGATGAGATGTATAAGCCCGAAAGGAACAGGAAGCCCACAAGGGACACCTACATAAGGAAGTGATTTCATTACCCAATGCCAGAATATGCTTGTCCCTTTCTGTTCCTTGGCACCATCTGCACCCCATCGATCATTAGCCCTCTAGATTCAGCTTCTTGGATATATTTCCAATATTCCCAACCCCATCCCATTTCATTCATACCGCCACTATTTCAGTTTGGCTCACCATCACCTCCTGTATGGACAACACAGAGCTTCTCAAATTGAGCATGCATCAGTCTCATCTAGAAGGCTCGTTAAAATTTGGATTTTTGGTCCCCACCTCAGAGTTTCTGATTAAGTAGTTCTAGGGAAGGGCCCAAGAATTTGGATTTCTAAAAAGTTCCCAGTTGATGCTGATGCTGACGGTCTGGGGGCCACACTTTGAGAACCACTGGCCCACTGGCCTCCTGTCTCTAAGTTCTGTCCACTTTGAATTATCCCCAAGCCTCAGCCAGAGTGACCTCTCTAAACTCAAACTTGATTGTAATGCCACTGCTGTAAAAATATCAATGGCTCCCCAACACCCTGACATCCTCGGCCCTTCCTAGTCTGCAACCTTTGGAGCCCCGTACCCCACATACTCAGGGTCGCTGTCAGCGTGCTTCCCTGCCAGCTGACACCCTCTGTCCACTCCCAATCTACTCCCTGTCTGTCTGTTAAACCCAGTTGGGCTTCAAGACTCAGCACAAACCTCCCTTGCCCCATGAGGCCTTCCCCGAACCCCTCACAGCAGTGGCTGCTCCTCAGGGCTCCATAGCACCTTAGCATAAGGGGAGTAGCACCCCACCACACAAGTGGTCCCAGAGGCCTCATTTCTGCAGGGCCCCTGTCTTGTTCATGCTAGGATCCTTGGTGCCAACACAGAGCTACAAATGCTGAAGGAATGAATGAGCTTCATGACCCACATGGCCCTCAAATCACCAACAGATAGACTAAGAGAGGGCACAGTTGTTCTGCTGGATGTCCACCTGCAAAGATCAGTGCTGCTGGCCACACAGTTGTGTCGCAGGCCATCAGGAACCCACCCCACTGCCCGAACTGGATCTCATCTGCATTCAGCGTGAAGTCTCTCTGTTTTCTGATTATTTGAGATGCCCGTCTCCATTCTACTTTACTGTAGGCACGGTGGCCAGATCTGTATGTTCCAAATGCTCATCTGTCCAAAGATCACAGATGGAGTCATCTTAATTTGCGTGTTTGTCATACCCTTCGTGATGAAGATTCTCTGCCTCACTTTTTATGTCCTTTCCTTACCAGCTCACTGGGTCAGTGGCATCCAGCTACATGGAATACTAGTCCCTGGTTCATAGATTATCACAGAAGACCTACACCAGCCAGAATTCCTGATTGGAAACAAAATATTTTTAAAAGAATGTATTTGTAGGACACTGGAGGTTCACAGAATCATCACAAGCCTAAAAGATCAGGCTCGGAAAGGGGCAGGACTGAAGCCTGGAGCCACAACCTGGACTCTGGAACAAGAACGGTATGACCAGGACGCTACCAGCACCCTGCTTCCCTGCAGATGAATTCCCACCATCCCTTCATTGTTGCCCCATTCATTACACTGGGGGCATCTGATGGGTCTAACCTAGGTCATATGACCTACTAAGACCACAAAGGGACAGGCCATGCCCTACTAAGGCCACAAAGGGACAGGCAAGAGAGGGTTTTGTCCTTTGGGCTTCTGTAATATTAATATGAAGTGGGGCTCATCACTCCCTCCAAGATGACACATAGGTGGAATAACCCCCAAATGATCAGAGATGTCAGGGATCTGATGGACATAAGTCAGTCCACTGCAGAGCCTAACTTGAACTTCATTTCAGTGTGGATTACTTTTCCCTAAATGTGTTATCCCATCTTATCCCCAGAATCTCTCCTATTTTCTTCATTATCACAGGTGTCTATATCTATTGCTCCCCACCCTTCTTATCATTTTATTACTAGAAGAAATTAATGTCATCTAATGTTTCTCATCACTTTTTAAAAGTTTGTTCATTTATTTATTTTTCATGTTTATTTATTTATTTTTTAATGTTTTATTTATTTATTTTTTTGAAGTAAATAATATATTATTTAATGTACTTATTTTCATCCAGTGGAGCAGCTACAATGAGAATATCATTTATAAGCCACATCAGAAAAAAATCCATATCCAAATTGATAAAATTGATACAGAGCCAGTATTACTTAAAAATGGCAAAGAAATTATAAACTATATAGTTCAATACAGAAAAGAAAATTTGTGAAGCAGAATACATTCCTTGTAAAAATTTGTTCTATTGATTTCTGAGAGAGAGAGAGAGAGAGAGAGAGAGAGAGAGAGAGAGACAGCATGAGCAGGGGAGGGTCAGAGACAGAGGGAGATACAGAATCTGAAACAAGCCCCAGGCTCTGAGCTGGCTGTCAGCACAGAGCCTGATGCAGGGCTGCAACCCACGAATGGTGAGATCATGACCTGAGCCGAAGTCGGATGCTTAACTGCCTGAGCCACCCAGGTTGCCCCAAGTTTACTTATTTTGAGAGAGAGAGAGAAAGAACAAGTGGGAGAGAGGCAGAGAGAGGGAGAGAGAGAATCTCAAGCAGTCTCCATGCTGCCAGTGCAGAGCCCAACGCAGGGCTTGAACTCACAAAACTGCAAGATCATGACCTGAGCCGAAATGAAGTCAGATGCTTGACTGAACCACCCAGGTACCCCTCCCATCACTTTATTTGTATATTCTGATAGCATATAATTGTAATTTCCGCCCTGTGTTACTGTCTGTCACACTCATGGCTTATCTTGCAGTGCAACATAAGCTCGTGTCTCATGCATTTTGCCCCTGCCTCTGCCCCCACCACACCTAACAGTCTAGCAAACAGGCTCAGCACGTGCCCACGGAATTCATGAAGCTTCAGGACTTCACTGTGACTCGTGCCCTGGATGCCTCACAAAACTGGTAGATAAACCGGTTCCATTATCAACCTCTGATCCATTCTGAGATGCAATCCTTCACCTCCAACCTTTGTTTCTATCTTCCTGACCAAATGCATCCTGTATTTGCTGGTTTTAAAAATACACAGACTCTGTGATGAAATTGTATTGAAAGCTTTTTAGAAAATCTAACTAGTGGGTCGCTGCTCTGACTATACCTAAGAATCACTGCAGAGGTTTTGCTTTACCCGTGTAGGGTAGGGCACAGACATCTCTGATGTTTCCAAAACCTTCCAGGTGATTCTAATGCACAGCCAGGATGGAGAACCACTGGGTGAGGTGCATTGTACCCACTGCACTGTCCCTTCAGAGACTCTCCAGGAGACGTAGGCATGGTACCTCCTTGCAGAAACTGTATGGCTTCTTATCCAAAAGGTTATATATATTTGTGTTAAAAAGTTTTTCTTCATTGAAGTCCTGTCCATTTACTCAGATTGGAAATGAGACAACCCAATCTGGCTTCCTCCTAGTGTGGGGCTGACCCAGGAACTGGAGTCTCTGGCACCAGCATGCCCATCTTTGGCCAGCCTTCCCACAAACACCCTGGGATTCTAGAGGTTCTAGGCTGGGTGCAGGAGAGGTATGTTTATAATGGTGTGTTCACTTGATAATTTTTTATATGAAATTATTATTGGGGCACCTGGGTGGCTCAGTCGGTTAAACATCTGACTTTGGCTCAGGTCATGATCTCATGGTTCTTGAGTTCAAGCCCTGCATCAGGTTTTCTGCTGTCAGCATGGAGCCCACTTTAGATCCTCTGTCTCCCTGTCTCTCTGCTTGTCCCGTGCTTGCCCTTTCTCTCTCTCAAAAGTAAATAAACATTTTTTAAAAAAGATATTATTCTGTCAATTTGCTGAAAAATAAATTAAATGTCTCACATCTGGATGAATTCTAAAAACCACTTCTATCTCTCACCCACGTGCACCCTATCTTGTCCTCTCTATCATCCATCCATTCTCGGCAGCTTTCACTGAGGACAGGTTATACACCTGGCACAGTGCTAAGGCACAGGGTAAGCCTTTATAGGCACAGCAGGACACTACATAGCTTTTCTCCCAGCCCTTGCAGAGTTTAACCATTTTCTCTATTCAGAAAGAACTGCAAACTTGCTAACTGTGCCAGTGGAGATGGAAGTGAGGATTTCTTTGAGTAGATGTGTGTCAACAGTTCTTTACAGGGGAAAAAAAATCACCCCTCTGTTACACACCTGTTTGAGCCATCACAGAAAAGTTCTCTGTCTTTCCAACATATTATCTGAGGTGGGAACTACCCTAATTTCTTTCCTCAGTAACTACTGATAAAAATCATAATTCCATCTCTCTGCTTTTCATATTTTATCCCAGCTTCCATTGGAGCTTCACTGAGAAATCCCACTTATCCACAGGCTGCTCCCTTCTCCTGAGGATTGGGTTCAAAGTCATTTGCAAGGTGCTCATTCTGCCTCATCCAATTCCTATGGACCCTTGATGTTACTGAGGAGTACATCCTGAAACCCTTTACAATCCCAAATTGCTTCATAGTCTCCTAGTTTTCTCCCACATCAAACATGAGTTTTCTAATACAGACCCTACTCCACAAAATGACCAACATCTCAACTTTCAGTCAAGTTTTCTCTCTCACTTGATAGCCATTTTCCATTCAGGAAATAAAGATGGCTTCGCTTCCTGAGAGGCAGCTCGGTGTCCATGATGGAGAACAGAGGGCAGCCTAGCTGATGGACGGTGGATACTCAACAGCTGGTAAGGCTCCTTCACCAGCCGCGAGCCCTGCCCCACCCCCATATTGCCAAGCACAGCTTGTGCCCTGGGAACTCAAGGTCCTTCTCGAATACATGAAACCATGACTGCCAAGTCCAAGAATGATTAGATTTACTCTCTGGGATGCCTCATTTTTAACAAAGATGCTTTTGGGGTTCTTTTCTGTAGTTTGTTCTTATTTTGCTAGTTAGCAAGCTCCAGGCTTCCTAAAGTACTTGGTGTTTGTTTAATAAACATTTTTTTCCTGGACTGTATACAAGTTTATTCTGAAACAACTACTTAATCTATTCAGTTTTACCCTTACTAATACCTGCTCTTTATACAATTCCTTTTTCTATAACTAAATAATATTGAGATTCATATTGAGACTGATTTTTTTCCTATCCAGCTAAATATGGTAGATTTTTTCCTATCCAGCTAAGTATGGTGTGAAAATGTCCCATCTATAAGGTTATCCCCGTAAGGAGTGTACAAAGGAGTCAAAATTTAACAAGGACCTACTATGTACCAGGTATAGTGCTTTACATAAATTACCTCAGAGCCACCACAATGTACTAAAGGTTTTTAGAAAGCATAACACTATGGACACTAACACCCAAGGGCCAAAAAAGTTTCAGTGGGGCATGGATATAGAGCAAAAAGAAACTTCTTAGAGAAACTGTAGGCTGGGAAGCCAAATAATTAGAAATAGATCGGAGAAGCTGCAGGAAACCCAAAAAGAAGCAGATGAACTGACCAGCTGTGGAAAGGAGGCCAGGGCAGCCAGCATGCATTGAAGATAAGTGTTCTGGCAGAAAGCACCTGACAGAAAGACAGAGAAGTGCCCTGAGGAGCTTTTTGAGAACCAGCCCCAAGGGGAGCATCCTGGAGGCCTGGCCTGGTCGAGGCCTGAAGGGGAGACCTTCAGGACACAGACCAGACTTAAGAGGCCTTGTTTCCTTAAGGCCCAGGAGAGAATCCAGACCGCAGCTAAGATATGAAACTGAGATGAACAATTTATTAAAACCAGGTCAGGGTGGTGAGCTGGGACAAGTGACCATGTGGGACACTATACACTTTTACTCTTACATTGTCCAGGCACTGCTAGTAGAATTATTTGTTGCCCAGCTCACTGCCTGAGTATATACCTGCTACTACAGCCGAGTCAGTCCCAAAGAGAGACAAGGCTTTTTTTTTTGGGGGGGGGGGGGGAAATCTCACATGATCCCTTTTGTAAGGGGGACCTTGGGGGGCAGCAGGACACCAGAGCCCCGCCATTTGGAGTTGTCCTGCTTGGTTCTGTCATTGTTGACTTACTTGCTGTGCCAGAGAACCAAGAACAGTATCTTGCCTTTCTTTATAGGCTTTACAACTGTCTATTCTAGAAGACAGTCTATTCCTCTCCAAAAAATGAGCTCTCTACCTCTCATCCTGATGTGTGCACAATGTCACTCCCACAGATTATTGCCAAGCAAGGTTTAGCAGGTGCCCCCAACCGGCTAACTGCTTGCCTACCTGTTCAATGTCTGGGACAGGTGGCATTCCAAACAAGCTTCCCCCAGTCCATGTGCCTATTATTGGCAGTGGAATTTCCACCCACCAAGGCTTTCCTGTGCTGTCCATGGAGATGTTTTTACTTTCTAGTTGTAGCCTTCCTTGGATACAGGCTGTCTCCCCTCCCACATACCTGTTTTTAGTTCTTTCTGCAAAGGAGGGGAGGGAGGAGAGAGAGGAGCCCCAGACCAGGGGATAATTTGCCATGTCCCATCCAGATCAGAGCCTCGAATGGTTGAAAGGACCTCTGTGAGAGAATCTACTAGAAAGAAACCAGCTTTAGAGGCAGGCGGAGCTAGCTAGCTAGCTAGTTGCAGACAGCAGCAGGCAGATTCCCTGGGTCAAAGGATCAACTGTTCCCTGAGGCCTTTAATTCCTCCAATGCAGCCAAGCTTTTCATTCCACAATTAGAGAAAAGGCCCCTGGGAGGTGAAACTCAAGACAGAAGCGGGCATATAGTTAAACATGAGGGCTGTAGATTCCTTCCCTGAGAGCAAACCTTTCCCTGGGGGTTTAAGATCTTGGTCCCTGGAAATGGGGTGACAGTCCTCTCATTACCTGAGCAGCTCCCCTCTTTTAAAACCTGCTTTCATAGTAAAGTCAAACATAAGTTATCTTTACATTATCACCTACATATCTTCAAAAGAAACCTGTGCTAGTGTGGAAACCAAGCCCAAAAAGTAGCTCAGAAGAAAAAGTTCAGAGTTTCCTGCCCCAGGCTGCTTCAAGGAGTGGCCAGTGGCCCTCCATGAACATCAGCAAAGTAGCTTTTGCCAAGCCTCACACCAAGAGAAAATGGTACATTCTCCCAAAATATGAGCAGAAAACACTGAGAAGTTAACTAAGAAAACTTTCCTAGCCTACTAACATTTCTCTGATAAATAACAGGAATCTCAGGGTCCACTTTTCCTCTAGGAACTTAAGGGAAGGTAGGAGTTTTGGGGGGTTTCCAGAAAAGCATCTGGGAATCTTATTCTCCTAGGTTCTAGAGATGCCAAATGAGTGTCCTTGACTGTCACATGACCTCTCTAGCCTGTTAAGGGCAGCTGTGGAACGTGAGGAATTTGCTAATCTTCTGGCAGGCAGCATGTACAGCTCTAGAAACAAAGATACTGTGGCCAGATCAACCCCAGCCCACCCCTGGGCGAGTACAAGGAGTCAAGGTCCTCAGAGAGCAAGGCAGGCCTCACCCTGGACTCCCTCCACTTTGCTGCCTCTTTTTGGTCCATCAGCCTCCTCCTTTTACCTGCTTCTCGAAAGCAGCACTTTCTACTCACCGTGGGAGGTGAGGTGATTGGCAAAAATGAAGGGCTGATGGAGCAAGGGATTTCTGATGACGGCATCCTTTGTTTCTGTCCCGATTTTTGCTCCTATTATTTAGTCACCTGCATGTATGCGCTTTTCCAGAGGCTGGTATCTGTTTCTAGGGATCTATAAGAAAAACCTGTACCTTTTCCATGTTTTTGCCCCTCTTCCCCCACGACGTCAGCCCTGGGCCCAAGACTGGATTCCCAGGCAGAGCTGGTACCATTTGTTACAGGCGGAAAGAAAGGAACCAGCCGACTGGGCCCTTCAGTAGTGCCAGACTTACCCACCTTTTCCGCTATCAGGAAGTCATAGCGAAGGGCCTCTCGGGTGCAGACAGCGCCCAGCAGGAAGACAAATACGATGTACAGAAACCACCTGCAAAAATCCCCAAGAGTGGAAGAGAGCTACACCCCTGACTGCAGCCAACTCCATCCCAACCCACCCCACTCAGTTCCTGGGTTCCCGTGGGGACTTGTCTCAGAAGAAAAAAGAAAGGCCAGTCATGAACCCCCCGCTTGCTTGTCTGAGGGGGCTTTCAGTACTATTGCTCCTCTAGCATCTCTTGCCAAAAAAAAATGTATCATTGTTTTGTCTCTGACATCAAAGAAGAAAAACACACAAAATGTATTGGGAGTGGAGGGCGGGCGGCCCCGCTGACCTCCAGGTTGCCGGGACCCAGGCAGAGTTGACCTGCAACGCCCCAGCCCCCCTTCGTACCCCCAAAGAACAAGTACATGATCTTTCAGGCTTCTCGGTCCTGCTGTTCCTTGAATCCCAGATGATAGAGAGCAGAGCCAAGTGTGACAGGGGCAGCGGTGACCTGGCTCTGCCCCCAGGCACCCTGTGACCTTGAGAAAGTCACATGGTCCCCGCGGCCTCATTCCCATCTGGGCAGTGAGAGGATGGGCCAAAGGTTTCTCCAGTGGCCTCCCAGCTGTGACCCCCAAATGAGGCAGGGTTCTTTCTTCTCTTTCCTTCCCAACACCCCATGTGTGCACTGTTGTCTGCATTCTCCTCCCAACACGCAGCCCTATTGAGCACAAAATAGACTGAAGGGATGGTTTCGCTATAATAAGCTCTATAAGAGAGCACATTCAGCATTTGTGAAGTACACATACTAATATTTTAAAAATATCATGGTTAAAATAACATGGGTACTTTTAACTTTTCAAGACATTGTCATGCCTATGCCTCTCACATCTACCCAGTTAAGGCACAGAAGCTTCTTCCTGTAGTGCCGAGAGTAAACCAGAAGATTCTAGAAGGTCAGAAGCAGACCGGAGGCCACTCAGTGTGCTCATGTGGGTGGCACAGTGTGAACTAAACCCCAGGGAGCCTGACAGCCTTGGGGTGGTGCAGGGGAGGCGAGTGGGGGGGGGGGGAGAGGAGAGACTGCTATGTGTCTTTACACACAGTATCTGCTCCACAGTCTCTGGGGCACACATACTCTCATTATCCCCACTTTCCAAGAAAGGAAATGGAGGCTCAGAGAACAAAGTAAAATGCTCAAAATCACACAGCCCCCCAGCAGCAGAGCTGGGATAGAAATCCCAACCTGTCTGCTGCAAAACTCTTCATCTTTAAATTCCTCCTCCTCCCAACAATCCCAGAAAACCAATGGTTAAAAAAATCCCCAAGTTCAAAATGGAAGTGGGGGAGGAGGAGGGACAGGAGGCTGAGGAGAAAGGAAAGAAAGGATTCCTCCCCCCCCACCCCCCCACCCCCGCATTCCCAGGCAGGGGGTATGAAAGGGCAAGCGTCTGAACCCACCAGACGTGAATTTTCCAGCCGGCTGAGTGTTAAAAGGAGAATTGGAATATGAAATAGATCAGCCACAGAGTCGGGGCACTCTCAGAACAAAAGGGGCAATCCCCTTTTGCCTGGGGTTTTCTCCCTCTCTCCAGCTGATTGCCGTGAGGGGAACTTACTTACGAGATGCCAACAGCTGCTAGGGAGCCCAGGGGGATGCTGGCAGTGGGCTCCCTGAGGTCACCCCCCATGTTGAAACCAGCCATGACTCCTGAAAGACACCCAAAAGGGGAGAGGGCTGAGCAGCCTACTCCACTCCATGAATCACCTTCCCCTCATCGGGGCCCTCTCCTGGAAGCTATCCCATGGCAAGCTCTTCCATCTGCACTTCTGGCAACTGGGCTTCTGAATCTCCCCTGGCAACTGGGGAGGCATCCATGGGGCATGAAAGGGACCTTTGTGGATTGGATGATGCTTGGGAGGAAAGCCCTGCTGGCCACAAAAGCATTTATGGCACAGTGCAAAGTAATGAGGGTGAGTGAGGCAGCTGGCAGGCTGTACAAAGGTCCTGTGGCCACATACTGAGCTCTGCCACTAACCATCCTCCCCCCCCAACTCCCTGGGGAGGCTCAGCCTTAGCAAAGCACCTGCTGTCCCCTCCTCAGCAGAGTTCCTTGCTTCTGCTGCCCACTGACTACACTGGGGTTCAGGTATCCCATGCGGGCAGGAGGTCGCATCCAATAGCCAGAGACCAAAGGGCTCTAAGCAAGTTCTAAAGAACAATCCTGAGAACAATCTAAAGAACTGAGTCACAAGCTCCTCTTCATCATTGCTTCTATTCCCCAACCACACTCATGAGAAGACATAATCAGTCATGATGGGAAGGGAGGCACAGTGTGGGATGGTGAGGAAAGGACATCGCCTCTGTCCATGCTCACATACAGAAAAATGCAACAAATGATGTGTTTGGAACATCAAAAGTGGGTGCAGCCCACAAGTACTCTATAAGCTTTGGTCAAGAAGGTTTCACAGAAGGGTGGGTACATCTCCATTGTGGCCTTGCAGGAAGATTTACATGGGCTTAGGAAGAGAGCTGGGTCTAACCCCATCATTATGGATTTATGAACAATTTCAACCTGCCGGTGCCTGTGCTAATGGTTTCCATGCATTTTTTATTTTGCTTTATCCTTACAACAACCACATCAGAAAAGCAGAATTATTTCCCCCATTTTATAGAAAAGGAAACTAGTGATCAGAGAGGTTAATTAAAATAGCCTGAGGTCACACATTTAGTAAGTGGGAAAGCTAGGATTCAACCCCAGCCACTCTGACTCTGAAAATTATGCTTTTACCTCCCCCCACCCTCTATGCTTGTTGGGGGAGCTCAGGTGAAATGGGTTGAGGTGAGGGTATGGAACCAGAGAGCTAACGAGAGCCTATTTCAAAGGGTGCCCAACACTGGTACTGCACATGGGTTGACCAGCAACTAATTCCACGACTGGGACTTTATCCTCAGTAAATAGTCAAGGATATGAATAGAGATGTAGCCAAAAATATTTATAAATGCTTATCTGTAATAGTGAAAATGAGAAGGAACCTAATGTCTGCAAGTAGGGGATTGGCTCAGTAAGTGGTGATATGTCTTTCAATAAATACCAGGGTTCTGTGTTGTCAGAAATATGGACATAGAAAGATATTTTGACATGGAAAGATATTTAAAAGCTATTGTTTCATTTTCAGACACATAGTACAAAACACAACATATGGTATAATCTCATTGTAAAAAAAAAAGGCAACATATAAATTTATGCATAGGAAAAAAAAAAGGAACCAGGACATGTTTTTAAAATGTTATTTCTGGGTGATGGAAAAACAGATCTTTTTTTTTTTTTATTACTTATGTATATATATTTCTCAATTTTCTACAGTGATCATTTTGAAATTGGGTTAAAATAATTTTTAAAGTGCATTTTGTTTTCAAACCACACATTAGGCACCTCTTCTCTCCTCCTGTTTCTCTTCCCAAGATACTTCCTTCCCTGCTAAAAGGGCAGGAAAGGGGGAAATGCATACATGTCTCTAAGCAAAGAGGACTGGGAGGGGGAGTCAGCCATAAGTAGATGAAAGGTTGCTACAGATGTCTGGAACACAGAGAATGGCAAAAATGACACAGATGAAAGGTAAGGAAAAGAAAGCCTTAGAAAACTTCTCTAGAGGATCTGAATAAACCTGAAGAAAACCAGGGCTGTTAGTGTGAATGTTTGCACCCAAAGGAAGCCCTCCTCTAGAACTAACTGTGCTCACAAATGTGCAACTGTCAAGTTGCCTGTGAAGGAAGAGCCCCTTTAGGGAAACAGACCTACACACACTACAGCCGGGAATCCATTTCAGCAACCAAAGATTGCCAGGGGTGTGATGAAAACCAGCAACAAATACATAAATACATGCACGATAAAAATAGAACAACCTGGGCTGGAATAAACTTATAAATCAGGACACAGAAGAGAATTTTGAAGAAAATAGTAATTACTAGCTCCAGACTCACCAAAGAGGAATATTCTATCTATAAAGCAAGACGCAATGAAAAACAAAAAATAATGTAAGAACAAAAAAGAACTTTTGGAAATGACAAAATGATCACTAAAATAAAAAATGCAATAGAAGATGTGAAAGATAAAGTTAAGTATGTATCCCAGAATTGAGAACAGAAGGATGAGGGGGTACAAATTTAAGGAAAGAAGAGAAGAAAAAGAAGAGATGTCTCATAGCTACAACATCCAGCTAACAGGAGATGAAGAAAGAGAGAACAGAGAAAACAAAAGAAATAACCAGATAAATAAGTGAGAAGTAAATAATAGATAACCAGAAGTAAATATCTCTACACTGAAGAAGACACAAGTCTACAGGTTGAAATAGCCCATAAAGTAGACAACAGAAAGATCAAAATGTAGAAAGTCCATACCACCATGCATCGTTGTGCACCTTCAAGAAAAACCCTAAATATTTCCAAAGGCAAAAACTGAACTCTTATAAAGGAACAAAAATTAGACTTCCCTTTGGCAACAGTGAAAGCTACAAAACAATGGAGTGCTGATTTTAAAAGTGAGGGAAAATTATTTTGAAATGAGCATTTTAGCCAGGTTACCCATTAAGTGAAAGCAAAGTTTAGTAGACAAGAGCTCAAAAAACTGACCTCCCACATATGAATTCTGAGGAAGATACTAAAGCATGTACTCCAGCAAAATGAGGAAGGAGAAAAACACGAGATTCTGAAAACAGTAGTGATCACTCGGGAATGGAGTAGAGTCCAGGAATAACAGTTGTACTGCAGAGAAACCAGAAGATATTGAGCAGAAGGATGGAAGCCCCCAGAGAGATGCCTCTCATTAGGAACTGGATTCAACACAATGAACAGTAGGATTAACAAACTGAATGATTTTAAGGACATGCTGACTATATATTTTGGCAACAAGAGAGAAGAAAGCTTATTGAAATTCCAGGAAAGGGGAAGAAGAAAGTCCATGTCTAAATAGGACTTAAGCTAAAATGTCATGACATGATTTTACACAACTAATAAAATGTAAGAAAAAAAGTAAGCCATTTGGATATTAGGACTATTCTCCCCTAAATGGCACAAGGACCGAGTTAGAATCACAGCAAAGGAAATGGAATTCTAGCTGCTACTTGGCTCTTCAAGGAACAACAGCTACATAGCCACAATAGTATACATGTTTACTGTTTTCTAACTTCTAAAAATTGACCTGTGGACAGGCACAGAGGATATAACTCTAGTTACAAAGTGGAATATGAATATTATCTACCTTGACAATGGAAAAGTCAAGCTATAGCTAACCAATATTAGGAACTAATACTAAAAAAAGAGAGAAAAGTAGAGAGAATACGAAAAGCACTAATAATTTCATCATAGTAGTGTTGAAAAACAAAAATATAAGTCCCATGATCTTTCACTCAGGTCTGGTTTCACTGTTATGAGCTTCAATTTGTTTAGTAAAAAATCTTCAGTGGGTTAAACATCCGACTTCAGCTCAGGTCATGATCTCATGGCTTGTAAGTTCGAGTCCCACATTGGGTACACTAGAGCACCACATTGGGTGAGCTTGAACACTGTACTTGGTGAGCTTGTACCCCACTTCAGGTGAGCAAGAGCCCCAAGCTTCACTTCGGGTGAGCCCCACTTCTCTCTTTCTCCCTTTCTCTCTCTGCCCCTCTCTGCCCCTGACTTACTTGCACTCTCTCTCTAAAAAAAGGAAGGAAGGAAGGAAGGAAGGAAGGAAGGAAGGAAGGAAAGGAAGGAAGGAAGGAAGGAAGGAAGGAGGGAAGGAAACTTGAAAGATTCTAGCAATGAATCTAGCCTTTTGAGCTAGCCATTAAATTTGGTAGATAGATAAGGAAAAGCCTAGTGAATATTTTTATACCAGTTGCAACATCTTTTAAGCTAATTCTAAACTTATTCTGTATCTTATTATCATAAAGGAGAATTTCTAGTGTTTGCTAAAAAGAACAAAGAAATTTCTAAGAATACTGAGCAGTTTGTCTTTGAAGCTACAAAGATTGCTGGCTTGTAAACTTAAGACCAAAAAGTTTTTTAATAGATTTGAGCATCTGTGTGTCTGTGTGTCAGTGAAACTGTATCTGTTCACTTAAAGTTGTACACGAAAGTTTTCAGAGGGTTCTGTCCACTCACCTCCTAATAATCAACTTGTTATAGCTTCCCTGATATTGCTCTAAAGCACAAATATACGGGCATTCACTTTTGAATGTCCCCTCTACAAAGAGCTTTCTTACTACTATTGCTTTTTTTTAAAATGTTTATTTATTTTTTTATTTATTTTTTGAGAGAGAGAGAGACAGACAGAGAACAGGAATGGAGGAGGGGCATAGAGAGAGGGAGACACACAATCCGAAGCAGGCTGCAAGCTCTGAGCTGTCAGCACAGAGCCTGACATGGAGCTTGAACCCACAAACTTTGAGATCATGACCTCAGCCGAATTGGCTACTACTCTTACTTTCTAATCTTATACTCTAATAAACTTTTGCCTGCTGCTAAAAGGGGGGAGGAGGGGATCACAAATATAAAAAGATTATGCAGATTCCCTTACAATGAGGGATTCCCTTAAGATAACTGAAGTATTCCTTGTAAAAATATTTTGCACATAAAAATAAATATGACTCTAATACATTAATCTTAAAACACAACACAGAATCTCAATTTCCCACACCAACAATAAAGAATGAAGGGATGTAGCCCAA